AGGGTGGTTTCGGTCAGAACCACGGTTTCCCCTGGACGTTCAATAGTCAGGTCTTCCACCATGGGCTCCAACCGAACTGTCTGATCCACATTGACAACCGGAGTATCCTCAGAGGCTGAGTCTTCATCAGAGGCTGAGCCTTCAAGAAACTGCTGTTGCATGGCATTAGCATACTCCACAAGGGAGCTCGGTATGAAGTAGGCTGGAGGGCTAAAAACCTCGGTCTGTGGATCGTGACCGAGCTTCTCAACAGCTGCCCTCTAGCCGCACTTGAAGAATAGCTCCTTGGAAGCTTCGCACTGCTTAACATAAGCATCCTCTGCCTTCTTGTAGCCTTGCTTTTCGGCTCCTTTAGCGCTCTCCTTCAGTTGGAATATTTCGGCATCTTTCTTCCTTTCGAGCTTCACCAGCTCCCGCAGATACTTATCCTTTAAAACAATGACTACCTTCTGCTTTTCTGCTTCGGCCGAGCTAATCAGTCCGGCCAGTCGGCCGTTCTCAGCTTGTAGCTCGGCCATTTGCTTTCTGGCCTCTTCTAGCTCGGCCGTCTTCGCTTCAGCCTCTGCCACGGCTTGCCTCGTAGTTTTCCTAAGCTCTAGCACTTTCCTATGAGTGATGTGGTTTTTTTGAATGGCCTGACAAAGCAAAAGATTTCCCTTTAGCCGAAGTAAAAGTTGAAAAAAAAAAAGAAAAGTAGATAGAAAGACGGCCGAAGTTACTTACCAGAATCATGGATTTTGTCGAAGACCGGATGGCCTTCAGTTTGGTGTTTAGTTGTTTTTGGTGGTGCTCCATGTCTTTGGGGAGGCACACACTCTTGGCCAGGTTGAAGGCCAATTGGTGGTCTTTCTCAGCAACAACCGAATCTGAGTCTTGGATGTCTCGGTTGTTGAAAGTAAGTTTTGGTACCCAGCTACCGGTAGTTCGGTCAGAAGGCTCCGGTTGGGGGCTCGGTGGCAAACTCGGTGGAAGAGCAGGTTCTTCTTCATCAACCAAACTTCGTTCGGTTTCGGCAGTCCGGGCGCGCTTGGTTCGGCGGGAAGAGGACGGCTGTTGAGAAGGGAGGGCCACAACAGCAGGCTGCGATTGGCTTGGTGGCGTTAACTTCGGGCCTGGTTGTCTCGGTTAAAAGCACCCTACTTGTTCATTTTTCTTGCATCTCCCTCTTCGCTGTTGTGGGATCAGTCTATCTCAGGCAAGGATGGTCCGGTTCTGGACCTCTTCAAGAGAAAGTCAGTTACTCTGCTTCCTGGCGACCACTGTATCGCGGTAGCGCTCGAATTTCAGAATTTCGCCCAACTACGTTCAGGATACTGTATTGCGGGCTCGCAAAAGTTTGCAAGGTTTGTAAGCTGCTATAAGGAGATGAAGGTGAGCAGAATCTGATGAGAGAAAGAACTGTTAGTTTCGGTTGACTAGACTAAGCACAATCGAAATAAAAAAATGCAAGGAAGAAGACCGAAGTTAAATTACCGGGCTCTCCTTTTTTCCAATTTATAGGTCGGCCAGGAATTTGGGCTTGAAAATCCTCAAAGTTCCCAGAGACCCAGAAAAAATCGTCGTCGTTTAAGTCTTTGTCCGGTGTATATTTTATTATCTTCTCTCGGCGGCGACTTATTCCAAGATAATAAACCCACCCATCTTCTTTTGAGCCAATGGAATATTGGTGGAAGATTTCGGCCAGGCCAAGGTTTAGTCCGGCTTGACGATTCAGTTCGGCTATTCCCATAATGATGCGGTATGAATTGGTAGATAGTTGGGTAGGGCATAATCTAGTCTGCCTAAGAAACTCGCAGATTAAAGGTTGGACTGGAAATCGCAGTCCGGTTTCTATAATTGACAAAAGGGTAAAGGGGACAAAGCCTTCATTATCCCAGGAAATGACGTCTTTTTCGGCTAAGATCAAATGGACATCATCGGGTATATTGTAGTTCTTCCTGAATTCGGCTAAGCCGCCCGGAGTATTTACTAGATACCTATACTTACCCATTTGTTGTATAATTTACGAATAAGTTATATCGGTGCAAAAATTGTGCTCAATAGCTCGGTTAAGCGCACGCAGGAGTGCCTGGGCGACCTAAGTCTGCAAAGTAGAAAACAAAGGGGTTAAGCACAGATCATGGGACCGTGCTACAAATTAAAAACAAGGTAAAAGAGCCGTACTTCGGTTTTGGGGACAGGTTCTATCTCGGTTCGGCGAAAATACTTGGTAGCTCGGTTTGAGCAGGGTTTTCATTAGCCAGACCTTGGCAAGCATCTCGGCATACTTACTTTGGAAACAATTTTGTTAGACCGGTTCATCGTCTAGGGGCAGCTTTCTGAGTTCGGTCTAAAAACTAAGAAAGCTGGTTTAGCCCCAAAGGTCTAAATCGGTTGAACTATGAGTTTTGTTACTTCGGTGAGCCTCTAAGGGCAGCTTTCTGAGTTGGGTTCAGAAACTAGGAAAGTTGGTTTAGCCCCAAAGGCTTAGCTCGGTTGAAGACCGAGGTTCCTAGTTTAATGAGTTCAAACTTCGTTCAATGAGCTTATCCCGGCCAGAGTGATTCGGGAGTTGGAGACCTATTGAAACTGTTGTTATTTCTACAAGTTCTAGTTCGGTTATTGTCTAAAGTGATCTACTTATATAAGACAAGCAGTATTCTAGTTCGGTTGCTACATGATTTTGGATCCAAGACTAGTTTTCTACAGAATAGTTCATACACGCATAAGTTCTGCTAATGTTTTTCCATGAAAGTACAGAAGCGAAACAGAAATGGAAGAAAATGTTTTGCTAAAATACGGTAAATAAAATGCATAGAACAAATACGAAAGCAAAAACAGGGGAAGGAAAAAGGATTTGCTTACCAGATTAAAGAAAGGGGACTGGAGATGGAAACAGTAGCAGCAGATGAAGAGCACGAGCTTGGTAGTTGGGGAAGCAGAGGCACGAAGAGAGAAGATGAATAGAGAAGGTGAATGATTCAAAGATGAAAGGGTTGTTTTGTGAAAAAAGACGAAAGGCAAAAAGGGCGGGACTGTTCAAATTTTTCGTAGTACGAGGGCGGCGTGACAGCTGCCCACAGCCTATCAGAGCCTGCCACGTGTCATTGAAAAGTGAAGCGTTGCAATCACAGTGATTGAAAAGACGTTTTGACCGGACAAGCGGAACCCGGAGTAAATTAAGCTCGGCTAGAGAGGTTAACGGGTTTTTTAGCTCGGCTGGAGAGGCTAAAGGGGTTTTTTAGCCCGGCTGGAAAGGCTTAAAAATGTTAGCTCGGCTGGTAACCAGGTAATCTCAATCATGCTGTGCAGATGGAATTAAGGGGCAATTGAGAGGGTAATTTTGGTAAAAATTGGGCCGAGCTATGAAGTGGACTTTATGGCCCAAAGTACGGACTGGGTAGAAAGGGCCGAGAAATTACTCCGGCCCAAGAGAGATAAAGTTACTTCGGCCGAAAGAGATGAAGTTACTTCGGCTGAAGAATTGTAAAGCTATTTCGGTCGGAGCAATTTAGAGCTAGGCCGGTCTCAGAGTCAGTCCGGTCATGATGTATTTTGAATAGGTCGATCTAGCGGTACCTTTGAGTTAGACCGGTCTTGGAGTTATATCGGTCTCGTGTTGTTAGTTCGGTCCAACCATGCCATGTGCTGTACATGAGAAGCCGATGTAAGAGAAATGAAAGGAAGAACTAGTTCGGCTAATTCTGCGGCTATACATGGCCATGGGTACTTCGGTCAAATTGTAGTCCGGCCATGGTAAAAACCATCATACTTGGTTTAAGCAGTGGAGGGGGTGTAAAAGAATAAGCATTATCCTTTAGAGTATGAATCCTGGGAGGACTCTGCATGGAGAAATAAAAGTCCTACTATGATTGTGCCATTCGAAACCTATAAAAGCTCACAAAACATCACCTTGAAGGAGGTAACACAACATACAATTTTGCTTTCTAATACATTGAGCTTTGTTTATTTGTCAAGTTTGCTGACTTAGGCATCGGAGAGGTTTCCGGCACACACCCACCGGCTAGCTCACGATTGTGTTTTCAGGTGACAAAGCGACGTCGTACGGAGGAGCACGTACTTAGTCAACAGGATTATACGAGAAGGTGTATTTCTTTCCCGTACAATTATTATTATTATTATTATTTTTTTTATTTTTATTTTTATTTTTATTTTTTTATTTTTATTTTTATTTTTTATTTTTTTTAAAACACAGGAAATTTTTGCTTAGCGAATTGTTTTCGAAAAAAAATTCTGAGAAAATTTTATTAAAACAACTCATTTTTAAGATAAAACAAAAAATTATTAAAATTGTGAGTATTTTTGAACTTATTATATTTTTTTTTGCCTAAACATGAAAGGAAATGAATACACAATCAAACATTCATATGAAAATTACTGAATCTCACCTTAACTATGAAAAGGATTGTATGGTTAAAATTAAATTTGTGTAATGTAGGTACCATGTGTAAAATAAATTCAAACCATAAGATAATGATTTTGGCTTTGTTTAGGAAGTTGACTATTTTACTTGGTTATTTGGTTTTTTTATTAATTTTAATCTAGCTAAAAAGTTGTGTTTGCAAAGTTAGTTGGTTTTATGTTTATAGTCAATTTGATGATTGTTAGAAGAAAAAAAAAAAAGAAAAAAAAAAGTGAATGATTATGAATTGAATGTGTCATTTTGTCTAATTAATTATAGTTTATTTTATCTTTTTGTGACTTATTTTAACTTTACTTTCCTCCCAAACAAGATTTTGGGTAGTTGTTAAGTCTAGATTTTTGAAAGGAAAAAGTAATATTTATCATTTTATTTTCAAAATTTTCTCATCTTCCTTTCATATGAAGTGAGATTATGAACCACAAATCAGATAGGGTTATGTGATCAATTTTAAACGTAAATCGCACCTGCCTCAAATTATTAGGGAGTAAAGTGGAGTTCTAGCCCAAATAATTTACTCATAAACTTCATGATGGGCCTTCGGCCCAAATGGACAAGGGCTAAAATGGGCCAACGTTTTGTCGTTCTGAAACAGGCGCGACGCGATTGTCGTCAACTCACAGGGTTCTACTGAGAGGGAGAGAGAGAGAGAGCTTCTTCAGGTACTCTGCAAGAGTTAGGCCGCGGAGGAGGAGCGGCGGCGGAGGCAGCAGAAGCGGCAGCTTCTCTCTCTCTCTATCTATATACAATATATATATGTTTATAGACATAAATGGAAAATCAAAGTGGATATGAGAGCTACGTGGTGGTACACAACATAGCGAAGAGGCACAACGTCGGCACACTTGCTCGGAGCGCGACGGCGTTCGGCGTTTCGGAGGTGATTCTGGTCGGCCGCCGTGACTTCAACGCCTTCGGCAGCCACGGCTCCACCTCTCACCTCCGCTTCCGCCACTTCCACTCCCTCTCCGACGCCCGCCTCTTCCTCAAGGTCTCTCTTCAACCCTAAACCTCTCGACAATTAGGGCTTTCAAGTCTTCATATTTCATATGATCATATCAGTAGTTTATAGGTGTGTTTTTTTTTTAAATTTTCAGGAGAGAGATTGTGATATTTGCGGGGTTGAGATCACGGACGATGCCGTTGCTGTGAATCAACATCCTTTCAAGAAGAGCACTGCTTTCCTTCTCGGCAATGAGGTATTTATTTGTTATTCAAATTGCTAATTTTCATGACTAATTTCGGATTATTAAGCACTAAACATTTGTACTCATTAATTCTGTTAATTTGCTTTCCAAGATTGTAGCTTTAAATGGATTGTTAGAAAACATGATGGTAATTGTTACAAGTTTTGGAGGTAATCCAACTGAAATGACCGTTACACTATATAAAGTTTGGATGCCTTAAAGAGGCTATGTAGAACAAGTTTCTAACCATTCTCATACTTGTGATGTGACTTTATTGAATATGGATGTGATAGAGAGACGAGAGGAATAAATCGGAATAGAGACTTCACCACCTTGCTCTGATATCATGTTAAAAGTTTTGGATGTATTCAACCAAAGCCAATTGGTGTTAGGTGAGAGTCGATATGAGATAAGTCTCTAACCATAATATAAGATGTATGTATGCTACTCAATTGCCTAATGAGGCTGATAGTTGGGTCCAACATCAATAGTTGTAGTGTTCGACAATAACTGTAGTTTTGTGCACAAACTTCAGAGTGTAAATATTTAAGCTATACAATGTGTTGTTTTCAATTTTGTAGGGAACTGGGCTTTCTGCTAAAGAATGTGAGATGTGTGACTTCTTTGTTTATATTCCGCAATATGGGTGTGGCACTGCTTCGCTGAATGTTACAATAGCGGCTTCTATTGTTCTACATCATTTTGGAGGTAATTTTCTTACGGCAATCACTAAATAATGTGACATTAGTATGGCGAAGTGCTTGCTTAAGTTACTAATTCACTTGAGCGTATAACAATAGTTGGTTAACAATAGTGGCATATAACATATCCTTGTTACGATCTTTTCTTTCTTGTCTCTTGCCCATATTCAAGTTTTCTATTGCCATTTTCCGACTGTTATAATAAAAATCTAGAAGAACACACTCAGTTTGTGGAATCCTTAATGATAAAACACGGCCTCTATTTGGTACTCGCTTTTTAGGAGTATGAAGGTTTTTTCTTGTTTTTGTAGGTTGTGTTTGATTCATGGATTTGGAGAGGGATTTAGAAATGGAAAGGGAAAGGGAAAGAAAAAAGGTCTGTGAAATATATTTCATTCGCATTTCACCGATCTTTTCTCTTTTTCTTTTCAAATCCCTCCTCAAATCTATGAACCAAACACAACTGTAATGTATGGTCCAAAATGGAAAAGTTACTCTCCATGGAACCTCATTGTCATAAACCTTAGAATTATTTCCTTTAAATGTCCTCGCCTTTCGTAAGCAATCAAAATTTTTTCTTGGCAAAATGCAGTAAATTTATGATCATGTATCCTTTGATATAGCAGGAAGAGGGCACCGTCATATTTGCATTCATTGACTATCAGTCTATCACCCTATATTCTTTGGTTCATTAGATCTTTCATTCTTTCCACTTGGAAAGTACTTTTCTCATCAAAAGTACTTTTCATTCTTTGGTTAACGCATCAAAAGATGAAGAAATTTTCTCATCTGAAGATTGAAACTTCTGAGAAGGGAATAAAAAATATATATAAATAGAATGCTCTAAAGATTTCACAAAAAAGGTGTTATCCTCCCATTATAAGCATAAATTGAGTGTAAACCAGTATGCAACTTTTCCAACCGGCGTTGGGTGAACTGTTACCATAAACATCTCAGTTTTAGTTATACAAACAATGACTGGGTCTCTTTGTTTTCTATCAAACTTTTGTCCTACGTTTCAGTGATTCTGACAGATGTTTCTGTTCAGTTTGGGCAGGATTCTCTGAGAGAACCCGTAATGGGGCCAAGTTTGTTGTGGCTGAAAGACCTGCGAAACAGGTGAGACGGAACTACTGTGCAGAAACAGCAGATTCTATTATTGAGGAACGAAAATTAAGAAGGGAAAATGCTTCTAATGGATTTTTTGATGAGAGTGGAAATGACAATTCACCTTCTAACCTTCTGGATGCATTGTTTGACGAGCAGTGAGAAATCAAATACATGATGTTCTCTTCCTGAGAGACTAGGATTTTGGGCCTACATACGTACTGCCATTTTCAAGAAGCAAACAGCCAATACATGAGCAATTCAGAGAAGAGAAGACCTCCACTGAAGGGACATGTTTTAAGATGAACCGTTAAGGATATTATGTGGTTCCTGGGAGTGATCATTCGACATTGAATGTTTATGTATCATTTTTGTATGGATAGAGAGTTGTGTACCAGGATAATCCCAAGAATTAAGCACATGTCTTTCTCTAATCTTTGATTACTTCACAGCTCAGTTTGGAAGGTCTCTCTCTCTCTCTCACTCTCACACTCACACACACACACGAGCACACACACACACACACACACACAAGAAACACTGTCCTTTTTTTGTTCTGTCGAGCAAAACTCTCTTCTTTTGTTTTACTCTTGCCTGTTACTGTGTCACTTGGAAATAATTCACAACTGCTCTCTCTCTCTCATCCCCCACCTTTTTGACTTTTTCTGATCATAGACCTAAGGAAACCAACATTCACAAGCCTCCAAGGAGAGGATAAAGAAAAGAAAAGAAAAGTTGGCCCATGTGCCAAATTTCCATGGCCAAATATTCAACTTATGGGTGATGTCTGCCTTCCTTTTTTTAATTTTTTAATTTGTACATTAGGATGAAATTACAAATAGGAATGTGCTTGGAGCTTTGTGGCAAAACCTCGGTATTCCAAGTCGCGGATTCGACCTTTACCTTGCCGTGCACGTCCTATCCCCCCTTCCCCACTCCTAAGCTTAGATATATTTATATATACATATTTATGACAGTTTCTTAATGTACTGAAAATAGAAGGAAATTACAAATATGTAGAACTTCCAAATGAGATAGACAGACCTAAACGAAGGTCGAATAATCAACCCTTGAAGTGCATGGACTCTTTGCAAACGGGTTAACCTGTTGGTTGTCTACCTTCATGGAACATTGAATCATCTGCTCTCAAGAAACCCAAAACAAAGGACACAAAGCCAACTCCAAACAATGAAAAGAAAGTTAAAATTAAAAAATTAAAATTAAAATAAACTCCCATATGCATCTATCTTTGACATAACATTAGACTGGAATTGCTTTATCTTTGTTCCAGAGTCAACAAGTTCTTGGTTGAACTCATCAACTTACCTACTTTGGAGAAAGGTAAACAACTGTGCTTCTAAACAAAGGCATTCTCGAGATCATCAAGGAAATGATTGTGCTGGTAGACTCCTACAAGTCCAAGTTTGTTCTTCTACATATCGTGGAAAGAGTTTCTATTGGGTGCAAAGAAAATTGTAAAAAGCTTTATAGGTAGGAGTTGTTGAGCTTTTGCTGTCATGGAGAAAGAGGTCAAACAACGTTGCTCCATTGTCAAAACTCCTACCTCAATTGTTGGAGCAGTTGGGTTCCTTTTTTGTGTCTCCACACATCAGCCAAGATCCCTACCTTGACTGATTTATGTATTTTAGTAATGCTATAGATCATTTTTTTTACAAAAAATTGTCTACAATGCAATGATTGACAATAAAGCAATTGGGATCCAGTTGGGAGTTATCTGAGCTGGAGTCATTCCGTGAGTATCAAGGAATACCGTAGTCGTATTAGAGTCATGTCTAAATACCCTTGAATTTATTTAAAAATATGTCTAAAATGCAGTGTGACAGTACTATATTCACTTGGAATTTTCTATAGTACAAAGAGTGGTTTTTGGGTACCATTTTCCAAAACCACTCCTAATCACTAGATCCAATTAAGGAAAAAATCCTACCATTGATTGCTATTAAGTAAAAGGGTATGGCTTCTGTCCAGTCCGGGATCGGTCTGTTGGGCCCGTGGGGGCCCACCATGGATCTCGTTTTGATAATCTGAACCGTTTAATGTGTAAAACTTGTCGAATACTATATGCCTGTAAAAAATCACGTTGATTGGATATTGATAGCTATATGATCAAATCAGTTTCGTATTAAAAAAATTAGACGGTGAACAAATTAACGGTTGACAAAAAAATGTTTTGATCACATAGCTATCGATATCCGATCAACGTGATTTTTTACAGACATATAGTAATCAACGAGTTCTACACATTGAACGGTTCAGATTATCAAAACGAGATCCATGGTGGACCCTCACGGGCCCAACAGCACGGTCCAGTCCGATCCCAGACTGGACAGAAGCCATACCCTAAGTAAAATCAGATACAAAAAATGAGGTAGTTTTCTATTTAAAAAAAAGAGAGTGATTTTTCGTGATCTTATTTACCACTAAATTGATTTTACTTATCATTAGAATTGAGTGATAATATTTATCAATTTTTTTGGTCTGATGTCCAAACCACTAGGTTTTTTACCATAGTCGGACCCATCTATGTTGATGGAATATAGGTTTCATCCGGAATGAATGCAGTGCTGTTAGCCCAACATTTTGAAAAAAAATTATGACTCTTTATTGTTTTCCCAATGCCTATATATCCAGGCAAGTCCCTCCAACATTCTAACTACGAACTGACCAAAACCTCCAAAATTGTTTTCATTTTCCATATCCCAAAAGTCCCAAGATTGAAATCAATGCAATCAAAAAATATAAGAGCAGCTTTGTGCAACAACCAACTATCTCATGTGCTATACATCCTTCGCAAGAAATGCAGGCACCTCTGTTCGAAAATCCGGTGCCTGTTATGGCGGCGCCCGAGGCCCAAAGTTGTCATCAGGAGATTTGGGAAGTTGAATGTGAAGTACTCTCAGCCCAAAGAAAAACCAACCACCACCTCTACGACTCATCTAGTGGGTGGTGTTGGTGCTCTGCGAACAGGAAGGCCTATACGCATTGCCACGTTCAATGTTGCCATGTTTTCACTTGCACCGGCTGTCCCAAAGGCAGAGAAATCAGTTGTTTACATTCATGAAAGTGAGACAAAGTCTGCTGTTGAAAATCAGCCCAAGAGCATACTGAAACAGAGTCCCCTGCATCCCCTGATCAAGCCCAAACTCAAAGTTTCGATCAATCTTCCCGACAATGAAATCTCATTGGCACAGAATAAGGTTGTCAGTTTTGTGGGTGATGATGGTGATCACACTGTAAGTGCAAAAAGTAGAAAATTTTAAAGAATTTCAGTGAAGATAAAGTTTTATGGATGTTATATTTAATTGATTTCTAGAGGCTAGGCTCTTAGAAATTTTGTTTGTATCATATTTTTTGTCATTGTTATAACGTTTGTGCTTAATATTTTGTTTATTGTTCTGATAGATTAACAGAGGCCATGGTCCAATGAGATCACCCGTGTGCTTCCCTGCTGGGATGTTTAGTTACATGAACGACGAGTTTGCCAGAGGCAGCAGCAGAACCATTCTTGATGTGCTGAGAGAGGTTGATGCTGATATATTGGCTCTGCAGGATGTGAAGGCAGAGGAGGAAAAGAAGATGAAGCCTCTGTCGGATTTGGCACGCGCGTTGGAGATGAATTATGTGTTTGCGGAGAGCTGGGCACCGGAGTATGGGAATGCAATCTTGTCCAAATGGCCGATCAAGCGATGGAGAGTTCAGAAAATTTTCGATGATCAAGATTTCAGGTGCCTTTTTTTCTCCCTCCTCAACACTAGAAAAATTTAGTATTGGAAGTTGAATTAGCCATTGATTTTGCTAGTGCCACTTTGTTTTCTCTAATGGTAGGATGGGCATAGATTGGCATTTATCCTGCTCCTTCAACATTCTACAAAAATGGGTTATGCTTAACTATTGAAATTCATAGCTGTTTGGGTTGAGGGATTTGATGAGAAAAGGAAAGAAAGAAATTCAGCTTATTATATTTGGCCAGGACCTTGCCTAGGTTGAGTTCTCTGTCATTCAAAAACTTCTTTTTTGAGGATAGGAATATGGTTTTTAATTAGGGTGAGAAATATGATGGAAAATCAAAGTGATAGAGAAGTAAAAAGAAGAAGAAAAAAAATTTCTTGTGTGCATTTCGTTAAGATGAAATTGTGTGAGAAAATTATAATGGTTGGCTTTTTTCACTTTCTTTTTTCTTTTTTCTTTTTTTTTTTTTCTTTTTTTGGTGTAATTTTTGCAAGAAACTAGAAACAAAGCTATCAAGCTGATATGAGTTGTATAAGATTTCACTTTTTTACATTTTTCACCACTCTCATATTAAACAAATGAGGGAAAAGTTTCAATTTTTTTCTCTTTTCCACACTTTCCACCATTTTCATCTTAACCAAACTCAGTCTAAGAAATTATTATTTTTGCATAGAATTAGGGTGTAAGCCACACAACTTATACTCTATTTTTGCTTAATATTTGGATGCATGAAGGAATGTGTTGAGGGCTACAATTGATGTGCCATACATGGGAGAAGTTAACTTCCATTGCACCCAACTTGATCATCTAAATGAGAATTGGAGGATGAAGCAGATTAATGCAATAATCCAATCAAATGATGGTCCCAATATCTTGGCAGGTGGGTTAAATTCACTAGATGGATCAGATTACTCATCAGAGAGATGGACTGACATTGTCAAGGTAACCCTTAGTCTTGTTACATAGTTGCAACATACATAAAGTAATTTTGTGGTAAGAAAATTATTGCCCCCACCTAACAAAGAAAAAATAAAATAATCAGGGCAAATCTCCTGGATGATCTTATGCTTTATGACTTTTCTTTGTTTCAATAATGGTTTCGTTTGGGAAGTTGGCTATTTTAATAGGCTAAAATTTTTGTGTTCGGAAAGATGGTTAGATTTTTTTGTAATTGGATGTGATGTTTGTAAAAAAAAAAAGTGAAATAATTATGGGTTTGATACAACATTTTGTCTTATTGGCTATTTTAACTTATTTTATCTTTTTGTGAATTTTAGCCTAAAAAAAAGCTAAAACCCAACTTGCCAAAGAGTCCCAATGTTAGGTACTCGGAAAAAGCACCTAGAAAAAAAATACAAAGTGTGGATTGCATTCATTTTGAGTCTATACCCCCACACACTTCATTTTTAGATAAATTTCATGTTACTTTTTTGGAGTACATATCGTTTTCTTTCTTTTTTTTTCCCGTTAACTCATGAGATATCATTGACTTCGACTATAGGTAGTTTGTCATTTCTTTTAAAGTTTCTGCAAAGATTAGGCCAGATTTGTCATTCTCTTAGTATTTTTTGATAAATTATATATTTTTGGAATCTTATTGTTGAGATCTATAAAAAAAAAAGAAAAAAAAAAGAAACGAAAGAAAGATTCATATTGAATATGAAATTATGTAAAACAAAATTCCATAGTTTCTATGTTTCAGAAAATTGTGTTACAAAACTGTGAAATTTCTCAATTTTTGCATTGATAAATTTTCTAAAAATTAAGAAATTTCTCTGTTTTTTTAAGATCTCATTATGGGACCTTTGAAAAAATTCCCCACACAAAAATGAGATGATTACAAGACAATTTTGTTGTAGTATTACGAGGAGGTAGGAAAGCCAACACCAAAGGTTGAGGTCATGAAGTTTTTGAATGGAAAAGGGTACATCGATGCAAAGGACTCTGCAGGGGAATATGAACCGGTTGTCATCATTGCCAAAGGCCAAAGTACAAAAAAACACTTTCTTGATTAATTTGGCAAAGTTAGTGTGAAATTTATCATTGTACAAAAATTTAGGTTTACATAAAACATGCTACATGCAGATGTGCAGGGGACATGCAAGTATGGAACTAGGGTGGATTATGTTATGGCTTCTCCGGATTTACCTTTCAAGTTCGTGCCAGGATCATACTCAGTCATTTCATCCAAGGGCACTTCCGATCATCACATAGTTAAGGTTGAAATTGCAAAAACGGTTGAAAGTGCTCTAGAGCATAGCAGACGAAAACACAAAGTGAAACAAAAGTTTGTGAGAATGACAAACTCTTGTTCTTCAAGAGGAATTTGGCGGATAGGGACTTGATTTCTTCTCCAATAATTTAATCTTTCACTTTTTTTTCGGTTATACTATCGCGGTATGCACAACATGGTGGGCGTAATTAGAAATAAATTAAGTAAATCAATATTTAATTTTTATCATGAAATGGGATAAATTGATGTATTATGTGTATTTGGTTTTTCTTTTTGTGTTACGAGGACCATAGGCTCAGTATACTGCTTCATTTTTTGTATTCCGGTTATTGAAATAGGGGCAAACAATTATTGATATCAAACTCTTTTTATTCTTTGATTGGATCATAAATAGGGCTCATATTACCCAAAACAAATAGTAATAGTAATCAGCAAAAGCAAAGCAAGACACATTACCTCATCAATTCATATATTATACAGTATTAATGTATAATATCACACACTATACATATTGAAACATCACTGATTATTTCATAAAAAATAAAAAAAATAAAAAAAAATGAAGTGTTAGATCAAATTAAATATGACCCACGTCACATTACGTTTGAATCTATATAGCACTTCATTTTTGAGTAATTTTGCAAGCCACTTTTTAAGCTTGATTATTTTGCATATTTAGTGTGTGGCTATGAAATTGAGATTTAAATTTCAAGGTAATTATATGGAGTCTCGTGCACTGGTGACTCAAACTAAGACTCGTCTGTAGACGGACTTGAAGGGTACCCAATGCCATGGCGGTTGCTAGGGAACAACATGAACACCGACCCAGAAACCGCCCCAATAACAGGCGGCGCAGCCATAAGCAAAGTTTTCCCAGTCGACTCAAAACCCGGATAAAAACAATCCACAGTGTTTGAGTCCAAAAGAGCCACCACACCAAACACAGTCAAAGAAAAAAAGGCATGAACGAAGTCTCCAAACCGAAGCTTATACTTAGACAAGTCATCAGAAGAAGAAACCATGGAGGATGATGGCCAAAGACCCTTCATCGTTGCAATGCCGTAGTGGGTATTGCCATTGCTGTCTGTGTAACTGTCTGTGAAGGAAGAGAGGAAGCAGGAGAGGCCACAAATGGCTGTGAGAGTGGCGGAGAAGTACTTGTTGAGTGGGTGGCAGTGGCCATTGTTGGTGAGGACAGGGTTGAGGAATTGGAAGAGGAAGACTGTGCCTGTTGGGAGGAGCCTTACGAGGTTTCCCACACCTGTGAATGTCATGTCTTTTATGGTTTTGCTATTGTTGTTGGCCATATTGGTTGTTGCTAGGAGGAACTATGTGGCTCACACTTGTGGTTTTGTCTTTGTGTTGTGGTGGTGTGGATGTCATGTTACAGCAATATATATATGTTTGGGATTTGGAGAGACAGAGAGGGGTTAGTAGGTGTGAGCTTGGATTACAAGCCCAGAAGTAGAATTGTTTTGCTTTTACTCTTAGAAAGGTGGCTTGTCCAAGCTTCAAGGATTGATAAATAATGTTTAAGGTGCTTGCTTGCTTTCAATTAATGACAAATACCTAATCTCTCATGTTATCCCTTAAATATGAAAAATCATCTATATCTATGTGTGTGTTTTTCCAATTATAGAAGATACTATCTATGTACTTTTTTCTTATGTTTAATCAAAATATTTATGTGTCTCCTTGCTTGCCACGTGATAGGGAAGACAAAACCAGCATGAACGTGTTTGGTTTGAGTTTTTTGGATTAAATTTTTTATAAATTGAGTTTTTTTATTTTCGTATTTTTTGTTTTTAGCGAATATTTTTAAAATTTTAATTTTTTTTTTACTTTTTTAGATGCACGTTACTTAGATGTATTTAAAAAGTCAAAAAATTGTCAAAAAAAATTTCAAAAAATTAATAAATACATAAAAATATTTAGAAAATGTACTGATTTCTCCTCTTTTTTTTTTTGGTACTTAGTGAATTTTTAAAAAGTTTTTTTTTTAATTTTTTTACTTTTTAGGTATATTTATGTTAGGTATGTCTAAAAATTAAAAAAAAATTACTTAAAATATTAAAAAAATTCAGTAAAAACAAAAAAAAAATACGAAAAATAAGAAAGTAAAATTTTTTAAAAAGTGTTTTTGAAAAACTCTAACCAAGTAAAGTATTTTGGACGTTGGTTGGGTAGTTGTTGTGGAGTGGCTGTCGTGGTGGTGGATTGGTAGTAGTAGTGGTGACGGAGGAAGTGCTCTTCGGAAGGGGATATCTATGATAAAGGAGATACATTTTTAATGATAAAAGTTACAAAATATATTTTATGTCAATTTATATTAAATATTATAAATAATAAATTTATGGTGTACAAAATAAAAATTTTATCTTTTATAATGAGAAAAGTTATGTCATTTTATCACTACATCATATAAAAATTTTAGAGACTGTGTTTTGGTCTTTAAAAGTGAAAATTTTGTTACAAAAGATGTTTAGAGATCAATTTCTATCGTCATGAGAATAATTACTAAAAGATCATTCCGAAAAGTCAAAAAAAGATTTTTAGCGACAAAATTTTAAAAATATCACTAATAAATAGGCTTTTACAGACAAAATAATTTGGTCTCAAATTGGTTTATTTTTTAAGACAAAAAATTTGGTCTCAAAAGGATAATAATTCATCACTAATATCTAATTTTTGTAGCTAAAAATATAATGACACCTTTCATAACAAAAATATTTAGTTCTTAAAAAATAATTTTGTTCCTAAATTTTGATTTTTAATTTTTTGTATTATATACACTTTACAGTAAATATTATAAAATTTTATGATGCTATTACAAAATGAATACTCTATACACCCTTGACTAAATAATAGCGTCTCCATCTTAGAAAAGAAGTAATAAAACAATGGTATTTTTAAAATATAATTATAAATTTATAGTAAATTTTATAAATTATAATGATTAAAGTCATAAAATTTTTAATTTAATTTTTCTTTTTCTTTTTTTTGGGTAAAAGGGAACTGCATTAATGATTAAGTCGGGTAATACAAATTAATGTTCTGGGATGGCAAATTTCCTCTTAAAAAATATTGTCAATTCACACTATCACCATCATTGTGTTGTGTGGGTCAAGAGACTCAAACGTAAGGTTAGGTAATTTATGTGTGGATCCAAGACTTTTGGTGGCCATTTGTGCTTTCAACAATGTTAAAAGACTGGACACGCGGTTCCTGTCATGTTTTCTCTCTACCGTGTCTGCTGTGTGCCTCAAAACGGCACCGTTTTATCACTTGCCCCTAGTACCCTTACCAGCTGCCGCTATTTCTACCCTCCAAGTAAGAGTAGAATAATTAGTTTTATTAATTTATTTTTTTTTCCTACACTCCAAGCAAAAGTGTGCTATGTTGGAGTAGAAAAGTTAATATATTTTGGCCTTGGTTTTTTTTTTTTTTTTTTTTTTTGTGGATACAACTACTTTTTTTTTTTTTAAGTTAATTTTTTTTCCTTTCAATTTTATTTTTGATGCATTTAAGCCAATTTTGAAAAATTCAAAACATATTGTTTGTTTGATTTTAATTTTAAAATTAATCTTTTAAAAAAAATACAATTTAGTTTGATAGATTGATTGTTTTATTATAATAAAATAAGAATTAATGAGACTCTTACATATATAAAAAATTAAAAAAAATAAAAATTGCGTTTGGTAAAGTTTTGTAAATATAATTTGAGAGTATGAGTTGTATTTTGAGTTTGTGAGTTGTGGAATTATGATTTTAGTGTAAAAAATTTGTTTGGTTATGGTTTTTGAATAAAGTGTTGAATTGTATGTGGAATTTAGTTTTGAAAGTTTGATGTGACATGTGAAATAAGAAAATTTGTTTGGTGATGAGTTTTTAAAATAATTTTCAAAACTTAATTTAACCTATAATTGATAATCAAATACACAACTCATAACTCGATATCCGTATTTTTGATCAACAGTCATAACTAAATTATTTTTAAAATACTCAAATAAAAAAATTATTTTTTTTCAATTAATTGTTTTTAAGTACTAATTTTTTTGAATAATTTTTTTTTTCAAATAACTTCTATGTAAATTATTTTATGTCAATTAATTTTTCTGTCAATTCATTTTTTAAACCTGTATAAACATTAAAAATATTAAAAATATTTTAAAATTATTTAGAAAATTAAAATATTAAAAATATTCTGAAAAATAAAATACTAAAAATATTCCCAAAATCAAAATATTTTTATGAAAATTAAAATATTAAAAATATTCCTATAAAATAAAATAAAATATTTAAAATAATAAAATAAAAAATATTTAAAATAAAAATTAAGTTGTTTTTGAGTTATGTGTTTGGTTATGAGTTTTGAAAAATAATGATTATAATTTGAAATGAGTTTTGAAAATTAAATGTAAAATTATGATTTAAAAGCTGCAACCAAATACTACACTCAAATAAGTGATGGAGCCTAACTTTTCTACTCCAACACAGCAGACACTTTTGCTTGGAGTGTAGAAAAAAAAAAATAAATAAATAAAACTAACTTTTCTATTCCAAAACAGCACACTTTTGCTTGGAGTGTAGAACAAAATAAATAAATAAATAAAACTAACTATTCTACTCTTACTTAGAGTGTAGAAATGGCGGCAGCTGGTACGGGTATCAAAAGCAAGTGGTAAAACGGTGCCGTTTTGAGACACACAGCAGGCACGGTAGGGAGAAAATACAGCAGGTGTACGGGGAGCAAATATTCCAGCAAGCCCGTATTCCTTTCTTCCGAGCTCCGTCGATGTCCGATCACCTGCAAGCAAGTAATGGTGAGCTACCCGGCGGTGTGTGGCCGGAAAAACCCTCCGACGGTCAAGTTAGCACACACCTTAGGATGGATAGAGAGAAGGGAGAGAGTGTTTGAGTGTAAGAAGTCCTTACAGAGATGTTCGCGTGTCGCGTATGGGGGGCGCAGACATGCTTATATACCTTCTGCGCCCCATATCCACTCCCAGTCATCTCCTGACACGTGGCTCTGCTATCCCATCTGTCAGCACAAACCTTGCTGAACATCACCTAATCTCATCTGCCTGTCATCACAGCTAGAGCTCGGCAGCCGAGCTGCCCTATGCGTTGCTGCGCCGTGCCGTGCTTCATACCCAAGCGCTTCCCTGGCAAACTCCAAGGGGGGACCGGGCTAGGCGGCATCTCGGCAAAGCCTAGCCCGAAGCACCCCGTGGTCAGCTTTCACGTCGGTCAAACGTTAACCTCGGCCGACGGTGCCATTCCGGGCGCCGATCACTCGGCTTGTCTGGCTTCGGCTAATCTCGGACCGAGCATCCTGGTACGACCGAGCTCTGCCTTACCGAGCTGCTTCTTTACGGTCTTGGGCGGGACGCACTCGGACCAAGTTCTGCCCGGCCCAAGTTCTGGCAGCCCTTCTCTGGGCGAACGATTGATCATCTCGGCCCAATGCACTGCTGGGCTCTCAACCTGCTCGGTCGATACCTCGGCCCAACTCCAGATCATAAATCACTCTCTCAATTGCCCCTTAATTCCGTCCGCAAAAGCGTGACTGGGATTACTCACTTCGACCGAGATAACACTTATCCGGTCTTCAAGACGCCGAACCTCAACCGGGCTAGTTAACATAATTGTCTGCGAACTTGCCCGGTTATATTCCTCGGCTGACATCCTCTTCGTCGAAAGTAGCTCGGTTGGCTCTTCGTATTTGCAACCCGTCGCTTCAGTCCTGTCATCGCCATAAATGGGGACACGTGGCGGGCTGCCATTGGTCATCGGGCAGCCAACCCGCCGTTTTTGCCAAATTTTTGAATTTAGGCGGCCTTTCTTACTTACATATACAGGACCCCCCTCAAGCCATTTCTTTCTATTGCTATTCCGTCTCAAGACTCCAGAGCTCTAGCAATCTCGCCATTAACTCGTGTGCCATTCTTTGTGCTCGAGGGACTCGACCTCGCCCTTCACTGGTGAGTCCTCCTTCCTCTAGTTGGTTGCGATTTTCTTTCATGATACACACATTAGGGCACAAAAACATAGCTATTAGGGCATAGGTCGTAGAATCCGCACCTAACCTCCCATTGTTCTTGGTGTTCTTCATATTCATGAAGAACACTGAAAAACTGGAGTGAACCGGGCTCCTGGTCCTCTTTTGATCCAAAAAACCAGTCCAACCGAGCAAATAACAAGTTTGTCTCGACCCCAGCAACAACCGAGATAACAAAAGGATTTGGTCGCTCAACCGGGCTGACATCTGGTCTGCTTGGGCGACCGGGCTCCTTAGATAGAATAAACAACCGAGGTTGTTTGGCAGCCTTAATGACCGATCTAAAATCCAGCTCCTTTTGCGCGACCGCGCTAACACTTAACACTTGCCATCCTTTTCCTGCAGAGTCCAAGGGGACCACTGTCATTCCTGAGGCT